GTAGAGTAACGCATTCTCTTTCCCTGGATCAACCCCAAACTAGAGAGCCAGAAAGCGAGAGAAAGAACAGTACAAACCCCTCAACTGTAATTTACAACATAATTGAGCGTGTGTGTGTGTGTGTGTGTCAGAATCTGGGTATGTAACTGGCACTATTCAAATGGCAGTCCACTTAATCTGCGTCTTGGCTTCTCGACTAAGAAAACGTTTGCAACTCAATTACTAAACACCATCAATGCAGTATGTGCAGTAATTCCAGGGTTATAGAAACACTGGCTACTTTATAATATACATCTACATTCATTGACTGTTTAATTAGCTTCATTTCAATTCAGTTCTGGCCACCTCACTGCAAAACATCTGGCTACACTCCTGGCCATCAAGGGTACATCTTGTGTGCCATTAACATGTATCTATTACGTGGGAAACTGCATGCTGTGTACCGTTTATTAGCTTTTAGAGTAAAGCTTTAAAAGTATCGCACGTTAAATATTTTTTAAAGATGTACTATCATCACGGTACCACAGGGCTGTAGGACACAAGTGTGGTCTCGAGTTTTGTATTGACTTGGACTTGTCTCTGAATTATTGCCATTTGTACTTGGACTTGTCTTGGTCTTGGATATCAGTCTGGCTAAATATGGTCTTGACCAGAAGTTTGGCCATTTAATGGTCATACTGTCTTTTTTTTTCACATGCACAAAGTTTGACAAGAAGCAATCCCGTCCTCTAGAAAACATAAACCTAATACAGAAACCTAATTATGGGTGTAATGCATGACTGAAGACAGGTAGATGAAGCAAAGGTTTTAATGGTGGAAGAAAAGATGATTTTCCGTCTCGATCTTGATTTAGCCTCGACCCCCTTAAGAATTGGTCTTGACTGAACTTGGATAGTCCTTGCCTTGGATTTGATTACAGTCTAACGTTTCCAGGTAAGAGACTCAAGTAAAAGATGTACCTTGATCAAGTCAAGTGGCTTTTACGGTCATTCCTCTATATATCTTGTAAACATTGGAATGAAATGTCGTTTCCCAGGGCCATGGTGCAACACATAATACCGCGGCAGAGCACACATGACTACATAAAGTGCAGATACACTACAGTGTGAGATGAGTGCAAATGAATACAAAACAAAAATACAGCACAGTGCATGTCAACTAGACAGCACAACAGAACAGCTGAAAAAATTGGTGCAACAACTGTGTGTAAACTGCTGACTGTAGTAGCAGCAGCAGTAAGAGAGTCATAATAGTGAGGTGCGAGTCATAACAATAAAGCGCTTGATAGCAGAATTACAAAGTGATGGTTCTGATGGTTCCAGGCCAATGACAAGGAACAGTGAAGGTACCTTTATTTCTGAAAGTGCACATAAAATAGCTAGTGAGTAAACATGGGTTATGTAGGTCACACCAGACAGTGCCATTTATGATCACATGACTCATGGCTTTAGTCACATGATCCATACACTCCATGATTGTAACCCTCACTAATTCTACAAGACAAGAAGCATGTGTTTTAATCATGACCAAACTGCATTTGAGTTGGATGATTACAGTCTATTTTAATCTTTTTTTTTTTTAATTAATATTCTTGTCTAGAAAGTGAGTAGGGCTCAGTACCATTCCTGCCATTCCACCCACCAGAGAGAAATCCTCCCACTTCATAAAATGTCCAGAATTATTTAAGCAAACTCATTATTCGGTTCATGAATAAATTAACCTGCTACCTAAAAGCAAGATGAGAAAGGCAAAGTTATTTGAAAACACAAAACGCCTCCATTCCCGCTGAAGAAAAAAAAAATCCCTTTGTAAATTGTAATGGTTTTAATGAAAACTGTTTTGGTTTTAATGGAAACTGTAATGGTCCCTGTGGGTCTCTACTGGTCATTTGTTGCCTTCTTCTCTATTGGCATGTTATGTCTAGTGGAAACCATTAAGGGAACAGTAATGGTAATGGTTTTAATGGTTAGCTGATGGTTTTGAATGGTATGTGTAGTGGAAACCATTAGAATTCCTGTGATAGTTTTTATTGTTGTTGTTGTTGTTTGTTGTTGGTTGTTTTTCAGCAGGGACTGGTCGTGTTTATTTTGCACTGTGACAGTCTAAGTAACTTTGCTCAGCTTTAACTTGAGCTAATTATTCACCTTTTCCCCCAACACCTCTACACATGTATGCTAATATGAGGATGAAAAGTGAAGCTCGCGCGTCACCAAAACACTTCACCTGAAGCTCGCGGGTTTCGCCTCGCGCCGCCGGCCTCACGCGCCTCTCTCAAACTTTCCTCTTCATCCTCCACTCTCGCTTCAGCCATATCCAGAGCAGATAACAAGATATCTCTTCTTTCGACAAAAAAACAAAACAAAACAAAAGACAAGGGTTTATCCTACAAGAAGAGCATTTCTCCTGTCCTGGGTTCAAGATAATCCTGTGGAAACAGTCGGAGTGAAAGAGCGAGAGAAAGTACGGCTTCTCTTTAACTTTTAATCCTAATACGAAGCAATTCAACCGCTAATTAAAACTAAAAACCTTTATGGAGAGGAAAGACCAGGCGAAAGCTTCGTTGCGAATAAAACAATGTAGTTCATTATCTGAAACTACAACAGGCTCCAATATAACTATCGCTCGAGCGTTTCGGTACGCTCCCACGTCATGACGTCAACAGGAAGTTCTTGTGTGTGTGTGCATGTAAAACAAACCAGGGAGGCGCCAGACCACAGCTATCACTGAGTGACATTTCTCCATAAATTCACACTTGTCAAATAAAACTACAGTTAATTTTAGAATTAAGAGGAAGCAAAGGACGTTGAAGTTGCATGTGCAGCCTATACTGATAGTCTTTTTTTTTTTTTTAAAAAGATTACAATGCAAACATTTGATAACAAGAGCATGTGCAATACATTCCATTAAATTAATCATTAATGCATAGAATCAAGTAGAAGGATTTTTATTAAATTGCTATGAATATTTGAATATCTGTGTTTCTGAAATTCATTACTGTCTTCTAAATTCAGACATTTATCCCAAAAATTATCCCTGACTTTAAAAAGGCAAGAATACTAGAGGGTACAACCACAAACAAACAAACAAACATGCAAAAATAAATAATCATACCATTTTAATAGAAATGCAGCCACCCCAATTATTGAATATAATTTGCCCTTTACCTTAAATATCTAAAATAATGAATTAGAAGACTAAATCCCCATAAATGACCATTGTTATTGCACAATCCATACTTCCTAAAGCAGGACAATAGAAAATGTGTTTGGAAATACCAAATGCCGAGTATATGTACACCATATTATAATATTTTCTGATGAACAAACATATCATAAACACATCCTGATAAAAACTATCAGGATTGTTTTATTTATAAAAAATGTATACCCTTAATATTAATTTTGCCCAAACATTTATCATCTATATTCATTTGAAATAAGTGGACAGCAAGGGTTTTAACTGCGTAAATCTGATGGATTATTTTGTACGACACCTTCTTAAACTTGACCAAGAGTCAGACAGTCGGATTTCACATTATCCAGGCCGTGCCTGTCATTTCAGTTTCCTTCGGCCTAATAACCAGAAAGGACACACACAGGTGATAGATTACCAACAGGTGAATGTCGATCCGACTTATTTTTAACCACATATTATATATTATATTATATCTGACAGTAATTTTCTTACTGAACAAATAGACTTTGGGCCCAAACCTGTTTAGTTTCCTCCCAAATGATGGACAACAAACATACAGACTCAAGAAGACACCTGAATAAACCTCTCACTTTATGATGCACAGCATTTATACAGTCAAAGTAGCTCAGTACTTGTATTTTAATTACTTTTATTAGCCTATAGTTATTATAATAATAATTATAATAATTACACTTGTTAATTAGCCATATTTTTCATGCTCCCATTGCATGCATGTGTAATAGCCTTACATTTTTTCCCACATACTGTTTGAATAAAAAACAAAACAAAACAAAACAAAAACGTCTTATCTGTTTTACTTAATTGTATGATAAACCCCCTTCTTACAGACCTCTGACCAAAAATTTACCCCAATTCTGTAGAAAAAGAGAGAACCTGGCACTGTTTTATCATTTCTGAGCAACAAATGTTTCAGTAAAGTCTAAGTGTGTTTGTTAGCTAGTAACCACAAGATGGCGTCGAAAACATGAAGATAAGACCTAGGCTATATTTACTTATTTATTTCCGGTTTCTCTGGAAACTTTGTGTACTACGCTTAATTTTTACTACATCATTTATAAGTTTCTTTATCTGTTAGTACAACAATCTGTTTAATAATGTATTTAAAGTTAACCTAAAGTTTACTAAGCTACATTCAGCCCTACAAACTATCAACGATGCAGGTCTGAATACTAAATGGCGTCCTTATAAGACACATAGTGCACTCCTTGTGGTGTAAAACTCATTATTTCATGCTCTATATCGTGCACTCCTGTAGGGAGGAGGGAGTGATTTGGGAACGAGCCGGTCTGTGTGTATTTGCATATGTAAATGAGTGGGCTGGGTTTATGGGGAATCCGGAGCACCTTGTGTAACCGGCGGGATTATTCTGATCCTGAGCTGTCCGACATAAACTCCACGGTTTTCCATTAACATAAACGAGTTTTTTTTGTTTCATTTCGGGAATCATGCGGAATTTAATCAGTGGATGGGAATTTACAAGAGTTTAATGGATTTTCCTTTTCAGAAGACAGAATAAATTCCTTCACAGCAGAATATAACGGGTAGGATTTATACCGGATTTACTTCTGCCTCAACAAGTGTGAGCTCTTAAACCTTAAAATGTGTTTATTATTAATTTAATTAATTAGTTTGTTAGATGTTGTTATTCTTTAGCATTCTTTTGTATTTGCTAGTCTTTTGTATTATGGCTAGTAAATGAAATGTGAACGAAATGAACTTAAAACTATCAACTAGTTTATAAATAGTTTATTAGAAAGAAAGAAAGAAAGCCCGTAGGAGGCGGGGCCACAGTGGCTTAGTGGTTAGCACGCTTGTCTCGCACCCTTGGGGTTACGGGTTCGGATCCCGCTTCTGACCCGCGTGCGTGGAGTTTGCATTGGGGTGCTTTGGGGGTTTCCTCTGGGTACTCTGGTTTCCTCCCCCAATCCAAAAACGTGTTGTAGGCTGATTGGCTTTTCCAAATTGTCCATATCGTATCGTCCTTGATCTACCAGTACAGTTTCTCCCCATGGTAATAATTTGTCATCCCATGATATTGACAATATAGTTGATGACGCATTTATGCGCCGCAATGTGGACATCTCACACGGAGAACAAGAACAAGCATGGCGGAAGGTGGAGTTCCATCCCTTGATGATGAAGAAGAATTAATCCCCCAAAATGGAGCCTCCTCCATAATATTGAAGTGGTTCAGATACAGAAGATCAGATGTGAATCTGATGTGGTTTGGAAAAAAAACTGGAGTGCCCTAGGTCCTGAATTTCCTGTGCTGGAAAAGGAAAAACTTGGACACTGGAGACTCCTTCCATAAATGCTAAATAAACATCTCCCCACAGAAAACTTCACCATATCACACGTTTTTACAATTACACACGTTTTTAAAAATATGCTATACAAGTCCCCGTGTATGCTGTTACCATAGAAACGATAACGAATTGGAAAGAGCACATCAGTATAAACCTGTGAGCCATTAGAGCTGCAGTTTTAGAAAACTAATCAACATGTAACATGAAATCCTAACAGAACAATGCTACAACATATCATTATAATATCATTTCACCCACATTCACATGCAGCTTGTTGAAATGTCTTTCAGGTCTTAAAATACATTTTAATTAACATTTAGCATTTGACTGAAAATGAGCTGTGAGCTTAAAAGCACTGCTTCATAAAAGAGGTCAAAATGTGCTGATTAGGTTTCTAAAGGAGAAACGTTTCTCATATTTTGTGTGTAATATGTGTCCTATGAGTCACTTAATCCAGTATTAACATCTGTTTTTTTTTACCTGATAAAAAAATACCACATCTGGGCAAATATGTCTTTCTCCCTCTCTATTTTTAAAAAAAAATAACCTATCTGCTTATGGATTTATAAAGTTACCTGAGTGTTTGTGCATGTGTGTGTGTGGTCCTTATCCCTAACCTTACCCCCTGGAGATTTAATAAAAAATTAACCATTCACCAGTTCAACATCTGGCAACACACTTTTGTCCCTCAGGCCATCTAGTTATGAGACTCATATTTACAGATCTCCTCGTCCCTCCCACACAGACGTTCCCCTAAAGCACTTTCATTTCTTACAATTTAATGGATAATGTTTCTGTTTATTCATTAGTATCTGAACCTCTCTCTCTTCTCGTCTGTCTCAGCCCAGTACTCTCCTCACGGCCATGGCCGAGCTGAGGTTAGAATTTCGGGGAATGGTGAGGAATGCTGGGAATGTTAGATCAGGGCCTCCACCCTATAGGGACGAGCTAGGGGCCGCTGCGGATGAACAAAACAGTCGGGAAGTCCAGAATAGATCTGACACTTAAACTATAAAAACGCATTGGTCAAAATCTTTAATTATTAATTCATCAAATTTTTTATGTATCAGTAATAAGTGTTCAAGCCACATAGAAGAGAACATTATGAGTCTTAAACATCCCATATGTTGTTATTGAACTTTACATCATAATGCAGTTGAATTCTCCATTTGAATCTGCATTCCTTGATGTATTAACTTCACGAGAGGAAAAAAAGAGAAGCTGGTGAGGGAACGACTGCTTATAGCTGCTATGATGTACGCGATAACAGGAACTAGCTTGTTTTGCAGACATTCCACAGCATTGCAAGTAACTATAAACAGATAAAAATGTTCGACAGACTTTGACAGGTTAGTAGAGCTTGATCCCAGGACCGTGGGTTTGGGCTCCACGCTGGGCACCAACCCCAGCCACTGGGCATGCACAGGCTAGTGCACTCTCAGTGCCGTTCCCAAGCCCGGTGTAAAACCTGTGCCAAATCAATATGCGGCTGATGGAAGGTAACAGCTGTGGCGACCATGAACGGGAGCAGAACAACAGTGTTGGCACATCGCTGTGGTAAAAGGGGAATAAAACACTTCAAAGTGTCCTAGTGTTACGATCACCAGCTGGAGTGCCCACGAACACCACTAGAGGGCACTCCACCTTGGACTCTTGCTATTGTTCCTGGACTCCATTTCCCATGTGTTCCTTGCCCCTCATGTGATCTTGTCATGTGCTACCATTGTTTGTGTGTTAGGTTCTGATTGGTTCCTTGGCTACATGTGTCTTGTTTTAATTGGTCGATTTTCTGTATAAAGGCTACTCACACCTGCTCCTAGGTTGTTGATGATTGTTTGGTTGTATTCGTGTTTCGTGTTTGTAGTCTCCTAGTTTCCAAGTTTCCGTGTTGCCTAGTTTACCTGTGTTTTGACCCTTGGACCGTTTTCCCTGTTTTCGATTGTTTGCTGCCTGCCTTGACCATTGCCTGTGTTTTGGATTACTCTTTTGCCTCTGCCTCGGATTGTATTGTTTGCTGGTGCTTGACCCTGCCTGTTTTGACCACGTTTGTTAATAAAGCCTTGCGTTTGGATCCCCAACTCCGTTGTCTTGAATCTACACGTTACACCTAGCGTCAAAGTTAAAAATGTTTTATTCTTTACTTATGTCCGAGTTAAGCTAGTTCAATGTAACAATTGTAAGGAACAGATTAAAATGTGTCCCTTTCCTTCTTCTTAGGTTTAACATAGTAGTAAAGCTGCACAATGAATCTTTTTTTTTATCGCAGTTGAGCCTGGTGCATTAAACGATATCAGTCTACTTGGATGCATAAGTCTTATAAAAGATTTTAAGCATTTTAAGAAGTAAAATATTTTGTGTGTAATTTGGGCAAGTAGTGATTAGCCAGTTATCATGTGTCTGTAATGTTGTCACCACAGCAGATCACTGATCAGCATGTATTTGATTTGGTACAGGTTTTACACCGGACGCCCTTCCTGAGGCAACCCTCCCATTTTATCCAGGCTTGGGACCGGCACTGAGAGTGCACTGGCTTGTGCAACCCCCAGTGGCTGAGTTGGTTCCCTGCCCAGGAGTAGTGAGAGCGCAGGAGCCTTAGCTCCTAGACCACCAGGGAACTTTTTTTTGACCTGTCTTTGACCTCTTTTGTCTTTAACTAGCAGTAACATGCTTCCTCTGTATCTGGTCATGCCACTGTCATTCGGCCGTCATGGAAAGGATCCAGATGTCAACTGCATTATGGTTTAGCTTCTCCTACTCACTAGCAAGATGATGGCGTCTGTGGTCTCCAGTGGTACCAGGGAGCAAACCCTAAATCTTAGGGGCGTAGATCCAGAAACCTGCATGATTGTCTTCAAAAACCACTGGGCACAGGTAATGCAAGCTCATCTACTTGTTTTCAGTCAGTTAGGAATAACACCAGTGCTGTCCTATTTGAACATTTCAGACTGACTTAAAAACATTTTTACAAAGGCAAAGTTGTCAATCATCTAACACACATCTAACATGTTGTTAGGTTTTGCGGATCCTGGAAAGGCACGAGCCGACCCGCAACGGCGGCCATCTCTGTTCAGGCCCGATCTCCTGTGACGAAGCGAGCGCTGTGCAAAACTATGTGGAGCACATGCTGCTCCTCCTGACGGAGGAGGAGTGTGGTGTGGGTGGAGCCATGGGCCCCATTCTGGAGTTTGTGCTGCTGGAGAACGTGATGGAGCGCCTGTTCGTGTGGAGCCTGCGTCGTGACTTTACAGAGGCGGCAAAGCTGGAGCAGCTGTGTATGTATGAGATGCTGGTGGCACGGGCACGGCAGCCCCTGCTGCACCACAAGCCCATCCTGCGTCCATTCGCCATGCTGCTTTCCTCCTGTGGCTCCAGCTCCAGCTCAGGGCCGGTGGAGGCCGAGTTGGTGCGACTGCTTCACAGGCTGTGTTGCATGCTGGCACATGATGACTCCGCCCTCCAGCTCTTCCTCTTCCACAGTGGGCAAGATCAGGGTGCTGCCAACTTCCTGCTCTTTTCACTGCTGTTGCCTTTCGTGCACCGTGACGGGCCGGTGGGTGTGCAGGCCAGGGATGCTCTCGCGCTCATTGTGGAGTTGTCAGCGCGTGACATCACTGTGGCTAATTACATCACCCAGAACACCTACTTTTGCCCGGTGAGTGGTATCAGCATAGTCGTTTATATATATATATATATATATATATATATATATATATATATATATATATATATATATATATAATTTCTTACTGTCATGTTTACTAACATTGGGCTTTGTTTGTCAAACTGAATATGAACAAATTTATTCGGAAATCGTTAGTGGTGGTGTTAACATTAGTTTGTATCCTACAAGAGATCCCGAGTTTATAAATTTACATTAAAGAAGACTCACTTACGTTAACCTTGATTGTTTGGCTTCAAAATGTGTAATTGTCCTGAATTACAAAAAATTTATAAATAGATTTCGCTGTCAAGTTTATATCACTTATTGTCTATATTGCACACACAAATTTCATGAAAATTTTTAATCATTTCATATTACTGACTTGAAAGAAAGCAATCCAAAACATCCATAAATTAAGACCAATAAGCCTATTCAATTAGGTCAAAAGTTATGGCACCCCATAAAAAGAAGACGAGTCACTGTTTGTCTATGGTAGCCGACACTCCGCAGTGGCTGAGCTGCATTACTGGAAGATTTAGCGCACACCGCACTAAACGAGGAGGCGCTGAACGTTTCACCCTTTAGTTGTCATTTTGTCTTTTCAAAATCTCTCTGTGAGCTTTGCCTGTTATGGAGTTTTGTGCGCATTCATAAAACATAAATCTCTCATGAACACTCTTCGTAATTTATCAGCATAAGGACAGGAGTTTGAAGAAAAGCAGTGTTACCAAAACAAATTTGGTGGGAATTTTGCGTTCGGTTTGGTGTACGAAAACATTTAGATACAGCTTCACTAAATAATTGATAAATGAGACCAATTAAATGTAACTTTTTTTTTTTTTTTACTACCAGAGACGGCTTTACAGCGACCTGATGCCTAGACTAAACTG